AAAGAGAAAATATATCACTCTCACTGTGGAGGGGGACCATGTAGGTGTGGTTTGGAAATAAGAAGGTAACAAGACCATGGTGATATACGTTTCCATCATGCGTGATATCATGCATTTTCAAGAAGCTCCACCACTCCTAAAAATAAAAGTGCTTTGGAGTGATACCATAGATCACAGGTTCCTGGTCCTTGGGTGCATCTGTAGGTCACTACATCATCAAAGGCTGTTTCAATCAGATGGATCCTCGCGTACAGCTGAGAAATGTGACCTAAAGTCTGACAATTTTAGGTATCACAGGTTTAGTAGGTGAACTTTTAGGTGAATGTTGGGAGCCAGCTCATATTTAGGTGAATGTTGGGAGTTTCTGTGACATGTTTGCTTGAAGTGCGTGTGTTGTCATCAGATCTAGAGCCAAATCTAGCAAGAATGGTGAGGTATTCGTTTGATTCACCTGTGCACAGTTTAAGCAGCATTAGCAGACTGCATTGCTGCTTGTTGTAACGATATCGTAGTGCATTGGGGATACATGCAATAAAGAGTCATAACCTAGAATATGTGGGCATATTTGAGGAAATACTGAAATAACAAACATCAGCTTTCCTTCACTAATTATGCAGTGTTCACTGTGTTGTAAATGCCTTCAAGGTAAAATGAGAGGTAATGACATCCAGAAGGAATAAGCAACTCCCAAATACATCAGATATCTCAAAGTTGAATATAACAGTCTTTATAACAAATAGCATGCAAGATAATGTTATTTTGTTAATTTGGAGGTAAAGTAAGATGTTGTTTAACTATTTCAGTATAAACCAACCATCTCATAAATAAACCAAAATAAACAATCATAGGTCATAATAATGTTAACTCTGACTGAGTTTGAAAAAAAACGTCAATGCTGAATGAATGAAGAGTTTGGGAGCCGAAAGAACTGGCTCTTATTGTTGAATAGGTTCAATTGATGTGAAGCTGGATCATTATACCAGGAGTATCCTTCATGGTCTTCTGTCACCCATAAGCCTTTGTGCATGCTTTTTTTGTATTATGTAATACAAACAGGGAGCCTACATAAGATAGTGCTACCGAGGACCCACCTTTCCACCAGCTACTCACGTCAGCTCAGGATGGGCTTGTCAATTAGTTGAATAGCTGAATCAGGTGTGATGGACAAAGGAAAACATATAAATTGCTTTTACCAAAGAGTCCTTCAAGAGTCATTTGTGTGTGTGGTTCTTTAAATAGCTTTTTAAAAAGTTACTATATAGCACCACAGTGGTTCTGCTGTCATTCCAACTCATCAAACTTTTTCATTGTACTATATAGAGCACTTTTTTGCTAAGAGTGTACACAACCTCTACATAATATAAAGGTTTACACCAGTTAATAAAAAAATCTTTCCTTGAACTATTCATCCAAGCCAAGAAGCATTTACAAACTCTCATTATGAAGAGTGTTGCCAAAAATACAATAGTTGGAGCATTTCATGTCAGTTATATATTACAGCTGTTGCTTATTTATATTCATTCTGTAGTCATTTCTGTGCTTGTGCATTACATTAAACAACAGTGAAAAATGCAAAACAGGGCAGATGGTGATTTGAAGTGTTTTGAGGCATGAATTCATGTAAAATATTGCCTTTGTTTGTCTAAACTAAAACTTGGCTTTGCATTGTTTCATTGGTAGTATTTGTTTGTGTGTAATAAAACCAGTTTAAATGCATGAAATACATTTGCCTCTAAAACACATAGTTAGCAACAGACACAAAACCAACCAAAAAAGAACAATTATGCATTCACACTTGTGCTGCAAATCTAACTAATTTTAATGTCCTTTTGAAGGGATAAAGAGAATATCACTCTTGCATGCAAAAACAAACAAAAAATATGTATAGCTTCAGAGAGCTACAAATGTACAAACAAATGTACAAAGTGATTTTTTAACATGCAAATGTGCACACAAAGCCTCCTTAGCAGTTTTATTTTGTGAAAGGGCTCCTTATTCCCCCTTTCAGGTAATTTCAGTCTGATAGGCCATTCTGAGACACTGGCTACATTGTCTTTAGTGCACACTGCACACTGGATCACCTCTCTACATTCTCTTACACTGTTATAATGAAAGAAATTTTTAGTAATACACACACACACACACAGACACACATACACACACACACACACACACACACACATAGACAACGTTTTTAAGACCTAAATAGACAATGTAGAAATAAAGGAGGTAAAGAGAATTAAAAAGATTAAAAAATGTATTTTACAACATTACACTATATTTTGTTAGAAATAGATACGAACAAAATGTAGAAGGAAAATATAAATGTAATAAATTCTATATATAATAACAATATGTTTGTTCTGTCATTAGGTAAGGGCTTGGGGTTGGAGTAACTTTCTGGCTGGCCAAAGAAATATCCTCAACTGCCAACTCTGGCTTGCAGCCTCACTTTGGGCAGCCCTGGTTTAACCACTTTATTCCATTACTGTCATTTGCCAAAAATGTTACATTTTGAGAAAAAAGCTACACATTTTGGTTGTGGTTAAATGAAATTTGCAACTGAAAAAAAAAATGTAAACAAAAAAATGTTGAACAAAAAGACAGAAAGTGTTATACTGTATATTTGCATGTATTTGTAGTGTGTATGCAAACTACTTTCAGTGTTGTCCTGAAAACAAATCACACCAAATTGTGAGGTAAATAAAAATAATATATTAATGAATTAATGAAAGACAAGATAATGCAGTTAAAAGCCCACAGACAAGTGAAGTTACCACCATTGCTCTTTTTCTTTTTTTATAATAATAATTATAATAATGATAGTGTTGCACAGCTTTTATTCACATATTAAAGAATACCTAATGAGTGTTATAGCTTTAGAAAAATGTTTAATATATAAAATAAAATATCCTTAATATACTACATGATTTGAAAACTGCAGTAACAAAATAATAGAGTTCTAAGGGAAATCAGTTAAATTGATTGATGCCTGCAAAAGACACTCACTGCATGGACTGTGACCTCTACAACAGTAGCCAGTTGAATGAATAGACACAGTAAATGGCTCCATCTAGTGGAATTTTACTGGATGCAAACTTTTAAAGTACTCAACTCTGGACTGTTTAGATTTGTTAAAGCTTTTAAAAGCTTTTAAAATTTTAGTTCAGTGACTCAGATTTAAATGTCCAATCATGTATTTGATGACCTGCCTTTGGCACACATAAACACACAACGTGAATCTGTTGGAGCCTGGAGTCGACAGCCTTTGGATAATGGTCAAATTCATATAATTCCTCACCAATTTATAAAGGTAAGTAGGCCTATTTTAGGTGGGCTATTAGCCAACAAACACCACAGCCTTCCTGGCATCCGTACATGCTTGGCCATCAGAAATACTGGGCTTTTGTAGCAAAAGGTAAACTGCACTGCAGGGTTATTCTCAGCTCCGTTCATCTAAAGCACAGGTCAATGGCAATATTTTAGCTTCAACTTTTACAAAGAATGTTCTGAAATGCCAACAGAAAACTTTTGGTCAGACATGCACCTCGTGCTTGGGCCCTAAACTAGACCACTTAGATCATTATCTGCTATATTATTTGCTGCAATAAGCCATTGAAATTAAAACACCATCTACAAACACCAGTAGTGTCCAACACACAGTGCTATAATTTAGACCTGCACTTTCAGTTCCCTTATGAGTATGCCTCTAAAGGCATATGTACGAACTGGAGCCACATTTTCCACTTTATGGTATATGTGTTTGATGTTAATATGCTTATAAAAAAGAACTGTAATAATACTACAATAATCTTTACGTATCCTGTAGCAAACCACAGTCATTGTCCAAGTTTATTGTGAGATTCTTATGGTAATCCTGTAGAAATTCCTGTAGTATTACCATAGATCTTTATTGTAAGAGTGTGTTGATGCATCAATGTAGTTTATATGGCCATTCAACATTATACATTTGCAATATTAGAGATTAGGGATTACAATATTAACAGCACAGTGAAGTCTGGGCAGATCTGAATGGTGTCTTAATAACGTAGAAACAAAACTGTGCTTTACAATGGTACAAAATCAAAATAAATCATGCAAAATCAAATGTGGCGTGAGAAAAAATAACACAACAAACAGGAAACAGAGGGCTACCAACTCTCACGCATTGGCAATGAGATTCAAATCTCACTCCACACTTGACATTTTTCACGCATTTTCACAAAATGACCTATCGATGGATCTGAACCGCCGTCGTTGTCTTACTAGAATACAACAGAACGAGCTCCCGTTAGCTAGTAAGTCACCGCCGGTCCGTATATGCTGTAGATCAGTGGGGGCGGGGCCAGTATCCATAGCAACAGTAAACTAACGAGAGTTCAGCACGCGAGCGGTACGCAGAGCGCTCGAGGGTCAGAGAGTGAAAATAATCACTAATAAAAATGAAAAGGTAAATAACCGACTTGGTCAGTACACTAAACATGATCAATAATAAGAGCAGCGTTCATGACTACGCACAGCAGAACAGTTATGCTCCAAACTGAACTAGGTTCTGTCTTCTGTCTAGGCTGAACAGTCAGCAGTGCTAAAAGCAGGACGTCTTACAAACTTTCACCGTCTCGCCCGGATTCAGCCTCTCTTCTGCAGTTTTTGTTCTCGTTTTCATATTAAACGGTCATTGCTCCTCACATTTCCTTCACAGATATAGAACATAACGATGTATTAGCTGAGGCGTTTACTTAGCGTCGTTTAAACACTGCAGTAGGAAATAAACTACACTGGTGGGGCCGCTACTGGCTGCATCGCACAGCTAGACACAAACATACCGCCGCCCCTGACTGCACTGCTGGTTACCATTAACTAACTGGTCTGTATTCTGCCCTCATTACAGTAGACTGAGCAGCAAAGAGTTAGCAACAAATTATTAATACTGAACAAAAGCAGCCCACATAGCAGCTGACTCCGCGCCAGATCCGCCTGCGTCTCCGCAAATCCGGCAGACGGTGCTATCTGCATTTACGCATCTGCACCGGAGTCAGCGTAACTCTGCGGAACAGGGGCGCGCTTGCTCCAAATCCGGGAACGTTACGGATGGCCAATCGCTGTGTGAATGCGCTGCGGATCTGATCCAGAGCCTCGCTGCGAGACCGTTCAAAAATTCGCAACGGTTTCCAACGGTCTACCAGATTTTGGCCAGGATGGAGCCATTAAAACTGGTTGGTCACATCTCATGTCTTATTAGCTAATACTGCTATCAGAGTCACGATTAATAGTCATATTTTTGATAAGAAGGAAACTTTTAAATGTTATTTTTCTCTTTCTTTGTATCGTTAGCTAGCTAGCTAGCTTGAGGGCTGTACGTTAGCGTCTATGCTAGCTAGTTTATCAGTGACACTAATGTTATTAAAGACGAGAAATAAATCTTAAATAAGAGTGTCTGGGCAACGTAGCTTTATAACGCCAGTTAAATTACCGAATGAATGTGAAATTGACATCTTATTAGCCAGTTTTTCATTCGAATGGTCTGTTCCACCTTAAAAGGCGCAGTAGTCAGTAGCCCTGCTGCACCGTTTAAGGTGGAACGGAAAATTCACATAACAAGCTGGCTAACAAGACTCTTCAGCCTCATTATTACGACAGAAGCAAGGTGCTTTTTTTCTGGCAATGTGAGAATACTAATCTTGAACACGAGTTAATGTCCAGATAACTTTGTTTTCGTTACTAGAGATACAAATACAATTAGCCTTTACTTTGCTAGTTACTGTACTAGCTAGCTAGCTAGGTTAGCTTATCAGTAACGTAGCTATCAAGCTAACGTTAGCTGAAATGTACTTATTTAAGATATAAGTTAATTATTTAACTTGGTAGTCACACATCCCTTGCTACGTTTGTCTGAATGAGTGTAAATTATAATGGACGTGTTATTTTTAGTTACTCAAAGAAAGAATTTTTCATTTTTATTCACTGCTAAAGCTTGTTAAAGCAGTAAATTCTGTGCCAGGTACACACACGTGAAGAAGTACGTACGATATGAAGAAATATGTAGGAAATTTAACAGATGTACATTTCAAAAGGATGCTTTCTGTAGTGATAAGTGACATTGTACACCACTAAAAGTAATGCACACATGCATTCAGTTAATCATTATTTGTCTTTAATCATGATTTATTGTTTTTCCAGGTTGTGTCTTGTATGGAGATGACTGAATATTGAAGGTAAGGCTCTTTATTCTCTCTTTTGCAAGTATAGTGTATGCAAATGAAACTGCAATACTCATTTTCCTGCATGTTGAATACACAAAGTTTGTCTCCATTTCTTTTACTTTTTATTGTCCCAATTCCTAAGCTTAATAGCCAAATTGAGAGTCTGTCTATATCTACAACTCTCTGTCTGTCTGTCTGTCTATATCTATCTACAACTCTGTCTCTCTGTGTCTGTGTACAACTCTGTTTGTCTCTCTGTGTATATCTACAACTATCTGTCTGTCTGTCTATAATCTATCTACAACTCTGTTTGTCTGTCTGTCTATCTACAACTCTGTCTATTTGTCTGTCTACAATCTATCTACAACTCTGTCTGTCTGTCTATGTACAACTCTGTCTGTCTGTCATCTACAACTCTGTATGTCTATATACAACTCTGTCTGTCTATAGTCTATCTACAACTCTGTCTTTCTGTCTATCTACAACTCTGTCTATCTGTCTGTCTGTCTATCTATCTACAACTATTTGCCTATCTGTCTATCTACAACTCCCAGTCTGTATCTGTCTATCGTTTTCTTTTTTCATTTCACACTTTTTTTTATTTTGTTGCTTTGCAAGCTCTGGTATTTCCTTCAGGAAATGCATATCTAGTTACTTATGTTTTCACGTAGGAGCTGTACGGAAATGCAAAGTGAGCAGCAACACCACAGAAGAGATTTCCAAACATGCTATCCGATGGTTCAATCTTGCATCAGACCGCGGAGGCGGACGCCGAGAGATATACAGGTTTGTGTTGCAACCTGGTTTGAACTTATAGTGAACGATATACAGGTTCATCAGAGTTTTATGTTAAGTTTTTTGCCCAGGAGCACTGGTGCCCTTGATTTGAAATAGGAGAGCAGGGAGCGCAGAATCTGGAAGCACCAACTTAATATGAACTTTTTATTCTTTTTTCTTTATTCCTCAGAGAGGATGGTAATACAGAAATCAGATTTTCCTACATAGTCCAAGCCCTTAAGGGTTACCTGAACAAAATTAAGAACTGCCATTTTCAGTTATTTAACAAGTATTATGTCCATTTCTTGCAGTTTTCTTAACTTTGTATTTTTATCTAATCAACACAAAAGCATTTTTTTGTCCCAGTAGTCCTTATTAGTTTAGCCTGTGATTCTTTTTTCCAGGTAGACATTTCTTACTGTAACTTCTTGATAGTTTCACATTGATTGAAGTAGTATTTTCTATCAACTAATCAAATCAGTCTGCCTTTCTTTAAACTTGGAAGTACATTGAGGGTGGCTCTCATTTTAAATAAAGCTAAACATATACAAAAACAGGGATTGAAGGAAGCAATAACACAAACAATAAATCAGTAAAATACCAAGTGAAATTTAAGAATATAAGTCAAATCATAAAATAAGAACATTATTTATACTCCTGGCTCTGGTCTTTTGTAGAAATTTCTACCAATTCACTTGTACGTATACTATGTACATGCTTTTGAGAAGCTCTTCTGTGAAAGCTTAAACATGTGCTCAGTGCTACTCACTGTACTTCCTGATTACATACAATTATGAACTAATTGAGTTTCTCAGTTGTGATTTTTTTTTTCTTTCCTTTTGTTTCTTTCAGGTCATCTACAGCTCTTCAAACTACAGAGGGTTAATAATTCACTTTTGGAAAACACAAAAAGGCGCCAAATGTTAAGTGTTCAATAAATATTGTATTCATATTCAGTACAGTTTTGGAATTGTTCTTGGTTTTACCTGTTTTGTAACTGTTTTTAACTGACTTTTTGTGCTGTGATTGAAGAGTTAATTTATGCAAGTAAAAGAAATATTCAGTGTTGATACAGATTACATGAAAAATGAATTTTACCTCTATCTGATTTTGTAATGCTTAGCATATTTAAAAATTATTATTATTATATATTACACATTAATAGGATATCAGTATTATCAGGATATCAGAAACACTCCATTCTGGAGAATCTTATAAAGTCAGAACTTCACAGTGGTGGTAGATGGAACCAGACATCTGAACCTCTGAAAGCTCCACCAAATTACACCAAATGATTACACTCCCTGAGATGCTGTTTCACCATAGTCTGGAATAGATTTCAGGTCTAAAACATTTTTTAGATACATTAGAAGGATATGGCAATATGGTCCCAAAATAATCTTTTCAGTTTTCCCACTATTTTACCCCAACATTCCATATAAACTCAGAGGACATGTGTAGGTTCACTGGTGGTTTTGAAAAATAAATAAAATGGTTATTTGTAGTATTTGAGTTGTAGTCATGGTAACCCCTGGTTTCTGTCACCACCATTGTAAAGAATACGTTTCAGCAAGAGTCAGTAAGTTTCTCTACAATTAATCATTTCATGTCAAACCACCAAAGTTTAATTTTATTTCCCAACTCTTCAATTAGACATTTATTAAGAAATACATTTTGTTTGTGAAATAATTTTGTATTTCAGGTTACCTGCTCTGGTCTTAGAGTACCCCTGCCCTGCATATTTTAGTGTTTTTCTTGATGTACATGATGCAGCTATTGTATTTAACAAGACCTGAGTAATGTGGGTGTGTGGGAGAAGAAAAACACTAAAATATACAGAACAGATAGTCCTAGACCATGGTATATTTAACACAGAGAAACAAACTAGTCTAAACATCTAGTTATTTCTACTTTTAAAACCAAATAAACTAATTATTATTTAGTTTGTAATTGAATTAAATAATGTCTAGTGTTAGCATAAATTACTCAATTATGTCATGTAAGGAAAAACCAAAACTGCCAGAGGAGATGTGGATCCACGCCAGCAGGAGTGCGGATGCAGGCCGGAGGAGGTGCAGATCTGGGCCGGAGGTGTACGATCCAAATGTAAAATGAGGATACGGATGTGGCCCGGATTTGGGCTGTATGAGTAAAGAAATCACTGAAAACTGGCCCAGTGCTGGGCCGGTGTTGGCCCAAATCCGCAAACCGGATCTGTACCAGTATTGGCCCACTGTGCAAAAGGACACAGGGCCAGATCCGTTTTACAGACCTGGGCCGGAGCTTTTGGATGATTTGTGCCGGATCTGGGCCAGATCTTTTTTGCTATCTGGGAGAGCTTGCCAGCTTTCAGTCTTTGCTCTTTAAAACATCTTAAAATGATTGGTTTTATATCAAATTGATAAATGTAATGTTGATGTGGAAACAGATCAGATTTGAGCATTGCAAAGATACAGCTCTTTTTAGTAATATCGGACATGGCATTTCAGTGGCTGTGTATACAGACATTTAAAATAACGTTATTTAAAGTTAGCTCGCGTGCTAACTGTGAACTAATGTGCTAGCTAGCAAACCGCAAAATAACGCAGAGCGGAGGTGCTTAACTATGAACTAACAGGCTAACAGCGAAATAAAGCCAAGCTCATATGGAAGGCCTTTGGGCTCAAAACATGTTTAACCATGCACGTTACGTGAATAAAATTTTGCGCGTTAACACGTAAAATGTACTTGTGATAATGTGACCAAAACCAAAAGGAGGCCTCAAATCCAGGCATACAAATCCAGGCAACAAAGTTCAAATACTGAAAATGAGCATCAATAGGAATTACTGCATACATTTAAACCAGCAATGAAACTTAAAGCCCATGTTTCATTTGGATTATTCATGATATAGTGAGCTGAGCGCTATGGCTAAACTGAGCCTTCCTGATCAGACAGGGGGAAATGATACAAGAGTAACATCCCCTTTAAGGAGGAGCCAACAAACTTAAACCTTTAGAGGGAGTGAAAGTGAAAGTTTTCAAAAATGGCTTTGCGTAACTTTCTTTTGAACTGCAACCGTATTTTTAGGGATTGCACAAAAGACTTGCTCACACTTTAAACTGTTCAACAATGCAGTGTATTTATGCTTATAAAATTCTACTTGTTCACATGTATATTTTAAAATAAAAACAGATTTTTTTCCCCATTACTTGGTCTGTTAGTTCTATAAGTTATTTGAGCAATAAGTTAACTTGTTGTTTTTAATAAATTGGCTGCTCTCTTGCTCCTATTTCTTCTTTTAGCATTGTGAAGCTCTACTTAGAACCTTCTTAAGATCCAATAGTGCAAAGTGAAAGTTCTTGCAATTTTTTAACTGGTCTTAAGATTTTGATCAGGAGTGTATATCTTTATTTCGCTAATGTTATGCTTTTTGCCTCCATATTTATCCTTCTAGAGCTGCTAGGCTACCCAGAGATCATAATGTTTATATATGTAGCCTTCAAACAAGTCAAGTCAAGTCAATTGATCTTTATTATCATTCCTCAGTATAACTTGTTCACATTGGAATGAAAAGTCGTTCTTCAGGCTCCATGGTGCAACACACAACAACAACACATTACACATGACTACATAGAATGCAGGTGCATGACAGTGTGAGATAGATGTAGAAAATTCAGCAACGACCCCTATCTATACACACATGAATTGGCATCAAAGCAGCATATGAGTGACGAAGAAACTAGTGTAAACTATGGTCTCATAGCAGCATTCAAATAATTAAATAATTTAGATAATTAATAATTAAAGAAAGCACAGGCATGCAGTGGTGGTAAAGAGGTGTGTGATCTGTCTATTGTGTATGCTGGAAAGAGTGTAGATTTGTCCAGGTGGATGTTGTGGGGCATCAGCGCATTCAGTAATCTGAACACCTTGGAGAAGAAGCTGTTGCAGGGTCTGGTAGTGGTGGAACGGATTCTTTGGTACCTTCTGCTAGATAGCAGAAGGTTGAAGAGTCCGTGAGAGGGGTGGGAGGGGGCGGCCACGATGCTTGCGGCCTTGCGGATGCAGTGCTGGTGATAGGAGATGTCGATGGTGGGTAAAGACACCCCGATGATCTTCTCAGTTGTCATCACAATCCACTGTAACGTCCTGTGGTCCGAGATGGTGCAGTTCTCAAACTAGACAGTGAGACAGCTGGTCAGGATGCTCTCTATTGTCCTCTGTAGAATGTAGCGAGGATAGTAGGGGGTTAGATTTGCTCTCTTCATTCTTCGCAAGAAGTGAAGTTGCTGCTGGGCTTTCTTGGCTAGGCAGGTTGTGTTGAGGGTCCAGGTGAGGTCATCTGTGATGTGTACTCCAAGGAACTTTGAGGTTTTGACTCTGCGCAGCTTAACCATTGATGTGCAGTGGAGAGTGATCACCATGAGTTCTCCTGAAGTGAACAGTCATCTCTTTTGTCTTATCAACACTAAGAGATGGATTGTTGTCTCTGCACCAGTCTGCAAGCTACTCCACCTCCCTGTATGCTAACTCATCATTGTTGCTGATATGATCCTCTACTATAGTATCATCAGCAAACTTGAGGATGTGCTTTGTGCTATGCTTTGCAGCACATTTCAGTGACCACTGTTCAATGTGGTGGTCTTGCCAATCCTGACAGACTAAGGTCTCCCAGTCAGGAACTCTAGGATCCAGTTGCAGAGGGAAGTGTTCAGGCCCAGCAAGTTCAGCTTTCCAATAAGTTGTTGTGTGATGATTTTGTTGAATGCAGAACTAAAGTCTATGAACAGCATTCTCACATAATTGTCTTTTCTTTCTAGGTGAGTCAGTGGGAGGTAAATGGCAGAGGATATGGTGTCTTCTGTAGACCAGTTAAGGCAATACATGAACTAAAATGGATCCAGTGTGGAAAGAGAAGATGTAGAACTTCTGACTGTTACTCTTTCAGAGCTTTTGGATATTCCTTCAAAAAATCCTTAAGATTTTCACTGGGTAAACTGTCTGCTTTTGCCGTTGAAAACTCCACGGTCGACATACTGTGTTGAAAGCTTGTCAGGCATAGCAGCAGTAGCGAAAGGTCAGGCATCAGGTATTTCTTGTTAGATTGTCTTGCCTTATCTTTCTATAGGGTGTTAACCACCTCTGTGCTCCTGTCAGTTGAGGATTTTAGTTTAGGCTTCAGTTGTTAAAGAAATGAGGTGAGTTAAATAATGTAAGTTGAACAAGACCTGAAAAGCATTTAACTGTCCTTTGACATTTGGTAGATTTACTCCACATCTAGGAAAGTAAAGTCTGCTTGCGTCTGGGCCTGCAGCAGTTTTGGTAATTTTTTTTTCTTGCTGTATTTTTTAATCTGTCTGATAGAAACTCTGTTCTGTCGCATGCCATATAATGGCCAGTAGGCTGTCAGTGGTTGTCTATATCCCAACAATTTTAAATCAACATTTTTAAAATGAAAATCTACTTGGCACTGAGACAGTAGGTCTACATTACAGAAAAAAACCTCTTATAATTTACTAGTTCTTAATAGTCTCATCAAAACATGAATGAAGCAGCACCAGACAACATTAAACTGCATAACTGGTTAATAAGCACATATCCCGAAATTCCTGGTCTCGCTTTTTTGATGGGAATCAGTCCTTAATGTGTGTTGAGGTTAAGAGGGTGGTGCATAATTTTGTGTGAGTCCCATTGTGTCTAGACTTCTTTGAAGCCTAAATGAGCCCCCATCTTTTTATGGTACAGCTGATGGTATCACAAAGAGTGTCTTGATTTGTCATGCTAAAGTTTCCATGAAACTAGTGGAAGTGTTTTGGTCATTTAGGAGGTGGTTGGTTTGTCATGGGAAGTTTTTTGTTGTTTTAAGCAACGGTACCACTTCAAAACGTTGGGTAACTGAGGGTCGTGGTTCTATTTTCTGACTCAGGGCCCGCAATTAAGGAACAAGACATATATGTAACTCCTTGTGATGCTGAAGTC